GTAGTATATATAATGAATGAAGTAGTAGTAAAGGTGAACTGAACATCTCTCATTCAATGATTTTTAAAAAATTGAAACTGGATTCACCTTGGCCTCTGCTAAAATTTGGCTGATGTTTTTTTTTAATTCAAAAAAGTTTTGAATTAAAAATCAACCTTAACTGTTTTTGAATTGATTGAGTCGTGGAGCGCCTTTTTCAGTAACCCAGAATTCCTGCTTGTATATATTTTGGCTTTGTGATTTTAAATTTCTTTCATTCTTTCATTTGTTATTTCTTTCAGCCTTGTTGAGTTTGGCTTGGCATATATCTACCTTCTGAAATATATCTACCTTTTGACATTGTTATTTATTTGACATTGTTTTTATATATTGCTACCTTTTGAGCTGCCAGATTCCTGGTAGTGGAATCACCTCAATACCATAAAACTTGTGACGTAGACCAATGACAGGGAGATTTGGACCATTTTTAGTGCTGGTTCTTTCTGCTATACAAATGGTTTTAGTAAATATATTTAATATATCTTTTTATTTATTGCATTTGTAGATTATTTCATGGTACTTCAAGAGCCATCAACACACTTCTTTGAGGGCAAGAATTTTTTTTGTAAAGGATTTACTTTTCTTAAATGTCCAAACAATCCAAGTTTGGTTAATGGCCCAAGTCACCCCGTCAATGGTCCAAGTCACCCCGTCAATGGCCCAATTCACCCCGTCAATGGCCCAAGTCACTCTGTCTATGGTCCAAGGCACCCCGTCAATGGCCCAAGTCACCCCATCAATGGTCCAAGTCACCCCATCAATGGTCCAAGTCACCCCGTCAATAGTCCTAAGTCACCCCGTCAATGGCCCAAGTTACCCTGTCAATGGCCCAAGTCACCCCATCAATGGTCCAAGTCACCCCGTCAATGGTCTGAGTCACCCCGTCAATGGTCTGAGTCACCCCGTCAATGGTCCAAGTCATCCTGTCTATGGCCCAAGTCAACCCGTCAATGGCCCAAGTCACCCCGTCAATGGTCCAAGTCATCCTGTCAATGGCCCAAGTCAACCCGTCAATGGCCCAAGTTACCCTGTCAATGGCCCAAGTCACCCCGTCAATGGTCCAAGTCACCCCGTCACTGGCCCTGTCTCTTATACACATCTAGATGTGTATAAGAGACAGGGGTGACTTTGACCATTGATGGGGTGACTTGGGCCATTGACTGGGTGACTTGGGCCATTGATGGGGTGACTTGGACCATTGATGGGGTGACTTGGACCATTGATGGGGTGACTTGGACCATTGACTTGGGCGACTTGGGTGACTTGGGCCATTGACGGGGTGACTTGGACCATTGATGGGGTGACTTGGACCATTGGCGCTGTCTCTTATACACATCTAGATGTGTATAAGAGACAGCCCCATCAATGGTCCAAGTCACCCCGTCAATGGTTCAAGTCACCCTGTCAATGGCCCAAGTCACCCCGTCAATGGTCAAAGTCACCCCATCAATGGTCCAAGTCACCCCGTTCATAGTCCAAGTCACTCCGTCAATGGTCCAAGTCACCCCGTCAATGGCCTAAGTTACCCCATCAATGGCCCAAGTCACCCCATCAATGGCCCAAGTCACCCTGTCAAAGGCCCAAGTCACCCCATCAATGGCCCAAGTCACCCTGTCAATGGTCCAAGTCACCTCATCAGTGGTCCAAGTCACCCCATCAAAGGTCTAAGTCACCCTGTCAATGGTCCAAGTCACCTTGTCAATGGTCCAAGTCACCCCATCAATGGTCCAAGTCACCCCGTCAATGGTCCAAGTTCAATATTAGTGATTGCAATGTTCCATGTCTACCTAGAGTCAATTTTATTACATATCACCATTTGTATCATTGTGTTAGGTCATAAATGACTGTAGAGCAGGTTATGGAAAATAAAAATGTTTTTGAAACTTCAAAATGTGTGCCTTTTTGTTTACAACTCTTAATCAAAATATGACTTATTACAGGCATGCACTATATAACTTGTACTTAACACTATGCATTGCCTCACAACATTCCCTATTAATTGAATTTAAATGTTTGTTTTGGTCTGTCATTTTGCTTGTCACTTGTTGTCATTTTGCAAAATTCAGAATTCTCATTCTTTCCAACTTCTTGGATGCAAACTTTCTACACAACCTTCAGTTGGCCACTGCACACTGAAGAAAGACATACTGAAATTATGGCTTGAATTTAATTCTGGATTTAATTTAATTCTAATTTTTAATTTGTAATCAATGCAAGTGTAGAATTGTGTTCAGGTTTTGCCATTTGCAAAGACTTTAATGGTGCTGCTGAAGTGATATCTACAGTTGAATACTCAGTTCAGTATTCTGGGTCATTATTTTGAACTAACTGAAAATGAGTGGTCCTGATTGTGAATACTCATAGCTGCATGGTAGTGACTTGAATATGGTAGCTCGAGTCACTACCATGAATAGCTGCATGGTAGTGACTCGAATTTATATCTTGCGCTAGTATTTCTCTTGAATGTCATAGTTATTATTAATATTTTTTTTAAATCACCGAAATGGTATAAACAAGCTGGAGGTTTGAAACCTCTAGATACCTGTAAAAACTCAGGTTCAAAATTGGCATAATGGCTCAGTGGTCAGAGCTGATGCCAACAGGGTTGGCAATGATTAAATCAAACGGATTAAATCATTTGACTTTTTTATAAGAAATAATGATTTTTTTTTTAATTTTTATGTAGGTATTCAAGTATATTGAGTGGCAGTCTTTAATTTATTTTGAGGTATTTTATTCATGGTTTAGTATAAATGTACTATGACAAATTGGAATATAAACCGGTTGCCTTGTGTGTGTATTAAAATTCCAATGAATTGCATGTTTTTGGTACAGAGGCATCAAGTGTTGCAATACATTGTGCATAGCTAGCTGCTTAGCTAATTTATACAATTTACATGTTTTAGCTAGCTTATATAAGAAGGGTTGGTTGAGATTGTATTAACTTCTTAGGCATTTAGAAATATTTTCCATTCTAATATGAGTATTCCAATTAAGATATTTAATTTCAATCTTTAAATATGTAAATTTATAACTAGAAACAAAATGTTACAATTATAAAACTATATATAAAATAATTAAATGCAGTGAATGGAAATAAAAATTTTGAATTGTGTACATGTTTATTTCAAATAGTATTAGCTTTTCTCATAACATAAGTCTCATTTCAAGTCGTTTGAGGTTTGTTTGGTTATCGTTCAGTTTATGTTTAGTATTGGTTTACTGGTCTGAATTATATGAGAATAGTGCAGTCAGTCACTCATTAATTGTTTACCCAAAAGTCCCAAAGTGGTAAACACCACCTTGGCCAAGAATAAGTGCCAAGGCCTTATCTCACCAATAAGTGCCCTTTTTAGCCATCCCTATACTGTTATTGTTAGTAGGCTAATTGCAATGTAAAAAATAACATTTCAGAAAGACTAAGAAGCTGAAAAATCAAATAAATAAATAAAATCATAAAAAAAAGAAATTGTTTATTTTTTATTATTTTTTTAATTAAAAAATCACTAACCCTGATATATCTGCTTTGGGTGGTCAAGTTTTTGAGGTCACAGAAATTGTTTCAACAAATTGGCAGTTTAAAATCAGTAGATACCAGTGAATATTTTGTTTAAAATTGGCATAGTGGCTTGGTGGTTACAACCAATGCACTATATTATATTAAATTATTGTATATTAAACAATATTGTATTATCATATCATATCAATTTAACTTGTATTATATAATATCATATATAATTGACTTCACATTCCCCTGTTGCAGGCACAGAGGCACCTATAATTGACTTCACATTCCCCTGTTGCAGGCACAGAGGCACCCGCTGCTTCACCTGCTGCTTCACCGGCTACTTCACCCGCTGGTGTTACCCCAGCCATAAAACAGTCAAGTGTGAGTATATCTTTACATTGCTTTATTTCTTGCTTTGAAATATCTTGCTTTAAAATATCTTGCTTTAAATTATCTTGCTATAAAATATCTTCCTTTTTATAGCAAGATACTTTGAAGCAAGATATTTTAAAGCGAGATATTTTAAAGCGAGACATTTTAAAGCGAGACATTTTAAAGCAAGAAATAAAGCAATGTAAAGATATACTCACACTTGACTGTTTTATGGCCGGGGTAACACCTGTCTCTTATACACATCTAGNTTTACAAGCCTTCAACGTCTACTGATCTCGAGTGTTAGTGCTGTAGAGGTTAGCTATATTCCCATATATGAATATATATCTCCCTATAAATATACATATATCAAGATACAAATATATATCCAGGTATACATATATAGACGAGGGAAGTGGTCTCAGCCAGCACATTAGTTGACGGCATGGAAGTAAAGGCTTAACCCACAACTCTGGTAGGAATAGCATTATGGATAAGAGGACGCGTGTGCCGGCATGGCAGCTGTCTCTTATACACATCTTTTTTTTTGTCCTACAGATGGAGGCGCCATCACCACCATCACCTTCTTCTGCATCACTACCTTCAACACAACCACTTCCTTCATCACCACTTCCTTCAACACAACCACTTCCTTCATCACCACCATCACCTTCTTCATCGGCATCACTTTCTTCAACACAATCACTTCCTTCATCACAATCACCTCCTTCATCACCGCTTCCTTCAGCACAACCACTTCCTTCATCACCACCATCACCTCATTCATCAACATCACTTCCTTCAACACAACCACTTCCTCCATTGTCATCACTTCTTTCATTACCATTATCACCACTTCCTCCATTGCCATCAGAATCACCTCATTCATCACCATCACTGCCTTCATCACCACCACTTCCTCCATTGCCATCACCATCACCTCCTCCATCACCTCGTCCTTCATCACCATCACCTCCTTCATCGGCATCCTCTGCATCATCACCACCACCATCTCCGTCACCACCACCACCCTCTGTACCACCCCGCACCCCCGCCCCGCGGCGCCGTGGGGCCCCCCTCCCCCCCACGGGGGGGTCGGCGCGTCGTCAGTACGCCTGTAGGACCTGCTCCTTCAGGAGCCGCTGGCAGAGATCCTACGCCCGGCACCTCATCCTGCACACGAGGCAGGGCATCCTACGCTGCTCCTACTGCCCCTACGAGGTAGGGGGACTAGCAGGGCATCCTACGCTGCTCCTACGAGGTAGGGAGACAAGCAGGGCATCCTACGCTGCTCCTACGAGGTAGGGGGACAAGCAGGGCATCCTACGCTGCTCCTACGAGGTAGGGGGACAAGCAGGGCATCTTACGCTGCTCCTACGAGGTAGGGGGTCAAGCAGGGCATCCTACGCTGCTCGTACGAGGTAGGGGAACAAGCAGGGCATCCTACGCTGCTCCTACTGCCCCTACGAGGTAGGGGGACAATCAGGGCATCCTACGCTGCTCCCACTGCCTTTACGAGGTAGGGGGACAAGCAGGGCATCCTACGCTGCCCCTACTGCCCCTACGAGGTAGGGGGGACGAGCAGGGCATCCTACGCTGCTCCTACTGCTCCTACGAGGTAGGGGGGACGAGCAGGGCATCCTACGCTGCTCCTACGAGATAGGGGGACAAGCAGGGCATCCTATGCTGCTCCTACTGCCCCTACGAGGTAGGGGACAAGCAGAGCATCCTACGCTGCTCCTACGAGGTAGGGGGGACAAGCAGGGTGTATTCCATATATAACTGAACTATATAATATGATTACATTATTAACTCATAATAATATGCTTATAGTATAATATTATTCGCAGACGAACAGCAGCCACAACTTGAAGCTGCATGAGAACAAACACACGGGCTCGAACATGTTGCAGTGCCCGCATTGTGAGTACACGACCGTGTACAGGAATAATTTAAATCTACACATATCCAGACACACGGGCTCGAACATGTTGAAGTGCGAACATTGCGAGTACACGACCGTGTGCAAGTCACAGTTAAAGGTACACATATCCAGACACACGGGCTCGAACATGTTGGAGTGCCCGCATTGCGACTACACGACCGTGCACAAGGGGCACCTCAAGGCACACATGCCCCGACACACGGGCGTCGGATGGCTCGTGTGCACCGTATGCGGATACAAGACTGGCGATCGCAGTAATTTCCACAGACATACTCGTCGCCATGACGACAGAAATCGTGCTAAACGTTGCCATGGCGCCAGAAAAATAAGTGAAAACCTACGTGCATCAGAGTCTCAAAGCCAAAGCCTTGACTCGTCAAAAGCCCCATGCCTCGACTCACCTAAGACCCAAAACCGCCGCCTTGACCCACTAAAGAAGCAGCATGACTCACTAAAGCTACAAAGCAAGCAGCTGAAGTGTCCCCACTGCCCCTTTTTTACCAAGCGGGCCCACTATTTACATCGCCATGTCAGGGAGATGCATGGGGTGGGTTACTATTGCTGCCAGAGATGTGACTACAATTGTGACCTCCTACGCCATCTTACCCAACATGAACGTGAATGTCGCAAGAAGATGAAAAATAATTGAAGAGGAGGTTAATCAAGCAAGTTCGAGTTGTTTTTCGTCGCCAGGCGTCGCTATGGGGACGGTGATGATGCGGAGCGTTGCTATGGCGACGGGAATCGTGCCAAGCGTTGCCATGGGGACGGTGATGACGCCAAGGTTGCTATGGCGACGGGGATGACGCTAAGCGTTGCCATAGGGACGAAAATCGTCCAAGCGTTGCTATGGTGACGAGGATGAACAGATTTTAACGCATTCGGTTAAAGAAGAATTCAAAATGAGCAAATTGAAAGAAGAAAACATGGAGGACGTGAAATAAAATGATTTCTTTTGATAGAGGAAACCGTGATTGTGTATAGATGGGAATAATAATAAGTCTTTATAGGTAGTTTTTAGAAAGGAGTAGATTTTGTTTTCATATTGAAAATGAATTGTATTTAGAAAGAATACTGTTATGTTCTGTTGATGATGGGAAAACCGTTTTTTATTTTATTTCAGAGAAGTTTCGTTTTTCACGGGATATTTCCCTACTGAATTTTTCTTCTTACACAATTTGACTGGAAATTTTATAGAAGTTTAAGTAGAAATTGTGTTACTATTTTGGGTGATTTGGAAAGGAAATTGTAGAGTATCTTTGTGGCTAAGATACGTACCGTGCAGCGGAGTATCTTTGTGGCTAAGATACATACCGTGCAGCGGAGTATCTTTGTGGCTAAGATACATACCGTGCAGCGGAGTATCTTTGTGGCTAAGATACCGTACAGCGGAGTATCTTTGTGGCTAAGATACCGTGCAGCGGAGTATCTTTGTGGCTAAGATACCGTGCAGCGGAGTATCTTTGTGGCTAAGATACATACCGTGCAGCGGAGTATCTTTGTGGCAAAGATACCGTGCAGCGGAGTATCTTTGTGGCAAAGATACCGTGCAGCGGAGTATCTTTGTGGCTAAGATACATACCGTGTTTGTCTAGTTTCTAGTCTGTAATTTAGTGGAGAAAATACGGCATATATTTGCCGTATTTATTTAATACGGAAATTTTTTTCACGTTTTTTCAATTATTTTCAAGCGCTCAAGTGTCTCGTCTCGTTGAATTGCTTGCCACCGGAATTTCATGTAATTTGTAATCGTTCTTTTAAAAATAAGTTTATAAAGCTTATCGTTGTTTCAATCATCGCAAGTAGTGTCTGAAATTAGCTTTATGTAATTCTCAACATAATTTCTCAAATTTCATCACATTGTTTGATTATGAGTTTAAAATGTTAGTAAATTACTGCCTTTGACAGTCAAAAATAGATGAACAGGTCAAATTCTCCTGGAATGAACAATTAGGTTGAAAGCTCCTGGAAGGCTAAAGTAAAATGTTTTCCTTATCTTAATTAATCTAATAATTTATTATCATGTTTGAGAAATAAATTCATCTGTGAAAACAATACAGGGAGTAAAACATACTCTTAGGATTTATCAAAAGTGTAGTCTTTTTTAAAAGAAAGAATTTCAAAGACTTAATATCTAATCAGAGATAGGGAAATTTCCAGAAGAACATTGATAGCTTGCTCAAGCATCTTAGAGACCATAAAAATAGGTTAATAATGATCAAATATCATAATCATTTATTTCTCAAGGTTGTGATTTATTGCCTCTCTTAAAGTAATTTGTTTTTCTAAACATTACATTTGTCTCACCCAGTCGTTTGAGGTCTCGGATGATCCAGGGCTTGAGGCCAATAATATCCGAGTATTGCTTGTTCTTTGTCTCGTCCGTCACCCAGTCCGCCATGGAGGTTTCTTGAACTTTTTCTTAACACAATCAAAGGAATTTTGCCGACAAACCAANTGGACTAGATAAAGCTATGGAAAAATATATGTTCAGATTTGAAATGCCTAGCTCCTTATCGAACCGGGTGGAAGTCTAGTAGCTACTTCAAACTATCGTCAGTCATGAAAAGATCCGGTCAAATGACACAATTTTAGATCTTCTGTGAACAAGGCACGAAAAAAGGAAAAGAATCGGCGACAGGCCACATCAGGCCTACACTCCAGCGCCGAGATCACTATGTTATGTTATGTTAATTGGTTTTGGAGTTTTATGGATATGGATTTTAGGGATATATGTACATATAGAGGGATCCAAAGAAATGGTGTCCAAGAAGGTGAAAAGAATCGTTGCTGATGCCGTAGACGTTGCTGATGCCAGAAACGAAAACTCGGAAGAATGTCAGATGTGGAAACGATGGAATGAAATCTTCCAGAAAACAAAGTGCACCTAAAAGTTACAACGATTTCGTGAGATGTTTCCAGCTACATAATACGGACCAGATGGAGTCTATACCTAAACGTACTTTCATGAAAAAGCGATTAAATTTGGTTGTTCGAAGTGGATCGGTATGACACTCAAAGACTGCCAAAAAGAGGATTACTTATACCTAGTCGCGAAATCCATTTGTAATCTGTGCGTACTAATCCGGAAATATTACTTCGTGTCCAATAGGTAATAGTTGAGAACCTGCATCTCGCACTCCTATATAGTAGTGCATGGTATCCTATAATAGTGTCCTTCTGAAGGAAATCAGACCCTGGTCCTATATAGCCGCTCTAAAATCCTTCATTTCCAACGTGAAATCCTTTGTGGTAGCGAACGCGTGGCAGGAATGCTTGTAATTTCTGATTAATTCTAATTAATTAGAAACTAATTCATAATTTATTCAATAGTTTATCATTCAATTATAATTAAAGCAGAAATTAATTCATAATTTATTCAATAATTTGTTATTTTTAATTTCTACTTGAAATATTTCAGAAATTATAATTTATTAGTCGTCATTACCAGCTGTAATTTAAAAATTATTGAATGTAAATTTTGTAAAAATTTAATACGCTATTACCGATCTCTAATAATGATTTTCAAAAAGAAAAATGTTCCTGCAGTTCATTGATAGAATTTTTTTTAAATTCCTAAATTTGTATAATCAAAGTTTATTGATTTTATTTTTAAACTGTATTTGAAAATATTTAAATACTTTGAATTTATCCCCCCCCCCAGCATGTATTTCTTGTACACGATGTATTCGCTGCATACTATGTATTAAGTTGGTCTCAGTCTGAATAAGTCTGATTTTTTTCGTAATGGACATTTTCACTGATACTTGCCACTCCCCCTCCACATTTTTACACCCCACCCCCAGTCACTCGTACTGGGGGTGGGGGTGTTGTTTGGGGTAGTGTGGGGGTGCGGGGCTGCACTATGCAGGGGCAGCAGGGCACCTCACACCCGCAGTGTCGCGGCAGCAGTGGAGGTGTGAGGTTGTGCGTGTGCCCGCATGCTCCTATTTAACCCACAACTCTGGTAGGAATAGCATTATGGATAAGAGGACGCGTGTGCCGGCATGGCAGTAAAGGGTTAACCCACAACTCGGGTAGGAATAGCATTATGGATAACATTGAACTATTTTTCAGAAATGTTCACTTGGAAGCGCCAGCTGCTGCTGGTGCTGTTCACTGCCGCTGTTGTGCCGCAGTCTACCGGTGAGCTGTGGGGACTCGGTGGACTGTATCTGTACGGACTGTTTTTTTCTTTTCAATACACAATCCACGAAATTCCAGTATCCATTAATCCCGAATCTACTCCTTTGCAAGCGCCATTCCTCAGAGTTGCAATTTATTCATAAATATCCATATATATTTCTCTGCCGTAAACTAGCTTGCAATCGTTATAAGGTTCAGACAAAAATGCCCAGCCCCATAAATCACGGGCGTATATTTCTTCTTGTTGTATTTTAGCTCGCCATGCAGCTTATAAAAATACGCAATGCTGATTTAAAGCGCGTGAACAATTTCTCGAGAAAAAAAACTTCCTTTGTTCCATCTTGACCACCGACATCTTGACCTTGAAAGCAGTGACTCCTTAACTCCTTTGTTGTTCCTTGTGTGCTGGACTTCGTTGTTTACGATGATAGTGACGCAGATAGTGATGATGACGATGGTAATGATGATGATAAGTGATGGTTGTGGTGACGGCGGCACTGATGGGATGGCTGACATGCACTTTGCAGATCTTGATTGTAGTTCTTGGAAACAAAAGGCGAGACTACGCCGCGGGAAACATTTCGACGTGAACTAATCGCGGCGGGTAAGATTTTCACGTTGAATAATTGCGGCTTTCAAGTGGAAAAAAAATTGCTTGCGGCGCGTAACATTTCTAGGGAAATATTGTCGCGAACGGAAACATTTCAACGTAAATTAATGCAGTGGGTAAGATATCAAAGTGAAAAATCGAGGAGGTAACATTTTCATGTAAAAGAATTGCTTGCGGCGCGTAAAATCTCTACGAAAAAAATTGTGGCGACGGGAAACATTTTAGCGTAAATTATCGCAATGGATAAGATTTTAACGTGGAACAATCGCGGGAAGAAACATTTTCATGTAACAAAATTGCTTGCTGCGCCTAACAATTCTATAAAAAATTAATCGCGGCCAAATTATTTCACAAGAAAATTATCGCGGAGAGTATATTTATAAGCGATATAATCGCGGCAATTTTTCACATCAAATTCTAGCCTTAGATAAAATTTTTACGTGAAATTAGCACGGCGGGATACATTTTTTCTCTAAATATTCGCAGCGGGTAAAATTTTTCATATAAATAATAGCGTTATGTGAGATTTTTACCAAAATAGTTGCGACGAGTAAAATTTTTATGGCGAGTAATACAACGCAAACAGGAAATATTGAAGTTTAGATAAGCAGCAGGCGCAAAAAAACTCAATTTCATTATTTCATTTACTTGACAAAAAATTTATTCATTTATTTCATTAGCTATGCGATAAATCAGACGCACTCTGTAGTGCAATTCTTGATATAAAATACTGAAGGTATCCTTAACTTAAGGTTTATCTTAGTATTTATTGATGTTGAGTTGAAATTTCATTGAAAATTAGTTTTCAAATTATTTAATAATTTATTACTTTTAGGCGATTGAAAATTTTTAGCGGGAATGACAAAATTTATAGTTGACCCTGAAAATGCTCGGTTTTAACTTAACCAGGAGATTGGACATCATTTATTGTGAACAAATTTCTAGATTTGGTAGAATTTTCGAGTTGAATTTAAAAATTTATCCAAACCTTTATTGAACGTAATTTCCACTTTGATCATAAACTTGTCACTGATGAATGTGAGATGATCTTTTAAAGAGATAAAAATCTTTTTAAAAAATAAAATCTTATCTTTCAAAAAAATTTTATCTTTTAAAAAATAAAAGATAAAAGATTATCTTTTTTTAAAGATGATCTTTTATCTTTACGCATAACTGAGATTCGTGTGTAGGCTTATGACATCTCACGTAGACTTACGACCATCTATATATGATCATTTTGACGTATCATTAATACTTCATTGGTATTTCTTTCGTTGAAATTAATAATTTCAACGTGTCTATAATAGATTCTATTATATTCTAATATATTATGCTTCATATTCCGACAACTCTGTTCAAAAATGAGCTTGATAGATTTAGAAGACTTTAAATCATTCACGAATTCAAAATCTAAACGACCCCCTTTTAGAAAAAGGCATTTTTATTGTAGGATCTTCTATGATACATTAGACAATTAGTATGTTTTTTGTCAAGCTGAACTAATATATTTCCACAAATAATGAGCTATAAATTGATGGCTAGCCTGTTGCTCTTGGAAAATGTTAGTATACCGTTTAATTTTGAAGAGTGAATTCATTCTGAATAGATTGTTCAAGAACCTTGCTTTTTTATGTTTCTTCTCAAATTGCAGAATAATAATAATATTTAAATATTTCCAGACATTGTGTGCCGTAACTGCGAAGTTGGCGGATGCGTGGCGGTTCAGCGTGCAGATGGCGGCTGCCCAGGGTGTATTTGCAATGGACTTTTGATGTCAGATTGCGCACAGATCAACTGCTCCTCAACCTGTGACGCAAAACTAACTTCGGACGGATGCATGGAATGTTTCTGCATTGATACCGACCAGAAAGTTTGCGATGCCATCCCGGCATGCCCTTCTCGCTGCCAAATGCAACTTGGGAGTGGATGCCCGCGTTGTACCTGTCCGGAGGAGCTGCAAGTCCAGTGTCCAAAGATCACATGCCCTCCTACGTGTACTAGCATCATAAAAGAAGATGGTTGTCCTGGGTGCGACTGTCCACCAAGCGATAAAGTTTGCCCTGAAATGCCTGCTTGTCCTTTAGGATGTATAGATACCCTGAAAGGAACAGAAGTTTCCGGTTGTCTTGACTGCAATTGCACGTTACTTGATAGGCTGGTATCACAGAATCAGGTGCTGCCCGACCGGGAAGAAGGAACTCCTCCTTCGATTGACTTCGACGCTGAGTTTGTCACGGTGTCCGTAGACGATGGGCTCCTCACTACCGTGAATGACGTCATTCGACCGACGACTACAAATTCAAACCCCACTACGAAGGAAGATGTTGATCAAATGACGAGGCCAACTACTGCGAATAATGTTCCAGATGCGGCGAATCCCAATACTCCTTTCAGTAATGACCCGACCAACAATCCTAACACACCAAACACCCCTACTGCACCAAACAACGATCCTAACGCACCAAACAGCAATCCCAACGTACCAAACAGCAATCCTAATGCACCAAGCAACGATTCTAACGCACCAAACAGCAGTCCTAACTCACCAAACAGCAATCCAAACGCACTAAGCAGCAATCCCAACGCACCAAACAGCAATCCCAAAGCAGCAAACAACAATCCCCACTCACTTAACAATCCTAGCGAACCAGACAATCCTAACGTCCTAAACAACAGTCCAAACCCCCAAAACCCCAACACCAGTTCCGTAAACAAGAATCCTAATTTTCCCTTCGACTTTCCCCTCATTCCCGTGACAAGGCCAAGCTCCCACACCGAAAATCCGAATAATCTCAACAGGCCAATTAATCCAAGTACGATAGGAAATCCTGCCGTACCCGGGTCTCCAACACCAGTTCCGTAAACAAGAATCCTAATTTTCCCTTCGACTTTCCCCTCATTCCCGTGACAAGGCCAAGCTCCCAAACCGAAAATCCGAATAATCTCAACAGGCCAATTAATCCAAGTACGATAGGAAATCCTGCCGTACCCGGGTCTCAGGGTGTCCCAAATCCAGGACTAGGCAACCAAGGACAATTTAATCCAGGACCAGGTAACCAAGGACAATCTAATCCAGGACCAGAGAACCAAGGACAATTTAATCCGGGACCAGTCAGCCCAGGACAATTCAATCCAGGACCAGGCAACCAAGGACAATTTAATCCAGGACCAGGCAACCAAGGACAATTTAATCCAGGACCAGGCAACCAAGGCCAATTTAATCCAGGACCAGGCAACCAAGGCCAATTTAATCCAGGACCAGGAAACCAAGGACAATTTATTCCAAGACCAGGCAACCAAGGACAATTGATTCCAGGACTTGTCGGTCCATCTCCATTTCCCCAAGGCCTCGGCAATCCAGGCCAGTTTCCTCAAGGTCCCGGAAATTTAGGGACATCAAATTCAGCACCACCAGGCGCCCCTCGGATTGGCCCTACTCGCCACAGACCCAACATACCCTGCGGTGACACTTCGTGCCCCCCTGGCTGCGTCCTGTGTATCCAAAGGAATTCCTGCGGCCGCTGCCTCTGTGGAGACTCAGCTAGGGTCTGTCCCGCCGTCCCTGCCTGCCGCCCCTCGTGCATCACTCAAGGAAGAGGGGGATGTTTCACTTGTTCGTGCCCGAGCTCTGGGGCTCAATCTGGGTCGACCAGTCCTGGTCCACAACAAGGACCTGGGTTCTTTGGCCCCGCTTCGCCATCTGAATTTTTCGGTCCAGGGATTCCTTCTCAATCTGGGTTATTTGGACCGGGTTTGCCTCCAAGGACTGGGTTTTTCGGTCCGGCTTCAGGGCTACCCTCGGGCCAGGGGTTCGTTCAAGGACCTGATGCGATTGGCGCGTTCGGGCCCGTGGTTCGAGTATCTGTGGGACGGCCTGACTTCCACGGCAAGCCCGTGAGTCGGCGGGGTCAAAGCCCAGGACTCGTCGCGATTCAAAACATCCCCGCCGAGCTTCTGGGGGTCAGTAGGTTCCATGTTCAGGGTTAGTTATTTGGAGTTCTGCAGTGATGGCTGTATGTTAACAATTATTAATGGAAACAATGTTCATAGTGATGAATAATCAAAGGGGTCATTGGCACAGCCTGCAGAAGTAAGTAATCTTTGCCATCTACTTAATTATTAGTGAATAAAGTCCACTCTTCTGTCATTTTAATTGTATATTTACGATAATCGTGTACTGGGCTATTATCATCAGAATCATCTAAATTTGGCTGCAAGTAGATAACTCTTAAGTAATCGGCATCTCTTGTATTGTAGAACAAAATAAATTTTCCTTCAGTATTGTATTTTAATTTCAGCGTTTCGTATGGATTATAACGTATGTTGGAAAAAGTTCAAATATATAACTACTGCTCTGGAATATAGCGGACTAGATTCTATCTAATAAAATGTAATCCTCTCAGATTTTTCAAGTTGAAATTTTATGGTTGAACATCAAGCACGTGAAAACATTACCCGCCGCTATTATTGCAGGTTGCAACTATAAATGCGCCGGTTGTAAACGTTCCGACGGCCCCGCGTTACCCAATCACTCATGGAATCGTTGTTATGCTAATTTGATTTTTTGATTTTTTCGATCAGCTTGTGATCACAACATTTCCTCCAAACTCCGGTAAAATCGCATGTTTCTGAACTCATGGCAAAAGCTTGTCAGGTTTTCTGGTTGGTCTACGTACAATTACTACCTCCACGTTGAAACAATAATCAAATGACATGGGACGACCAACTCTCGATTCCATACTCCAACCTCAGCCTCAATCTGTATTTTGCCTCGGCACTATTAGTGTTCTTGTGACAATTAGCGTCCGCTTCGCTGGCTGTAGGCACACAGAAAGTGAGCCGCTCCTGCCGAATCAAAAGTGGAGAGTATAAGTTTAGCGTCCGCTTCGCTGGCTGTAGGCACACAGAAAGTGAGCCGCTCCTGCCGAATTAACGATTTTGTTTTTCGATTCGCTACAATAAATATATGGTGAATAAGTTATTTATTTAACAACACTATTTGGAAGGAAAAATGTCATGGTATTTTTAACTTATTAAAGCACGCTGTTCTGTTGTGTATTTTTGCAGCTGTATTTGTAAGCGGTATGGGATGACCCAGTGTTTACAGTTCAGTGTAGGCAGCAAGATTGTGACAGTGAGTGGCGAGTTTGATCCCATGCCACCTGCGAAAGTTTTGGTCGGAATCAACAAATAGACGGACGGTTAAGCGCAGTGGATATTGAACAGTAAGTTGCGTGTTCGAGACCCGCAATAATCGGTAAAAATTTTGCGAAATTCAGAATCTACGACTGGTTTAACGGTTTAATCTTCTACGTTGACACCGCTGTTATTAATACTATTATTATAACCTTTTTGCTTGGTTGATAGACATTCTGATTAATTTATAGTGCTGACCTTATGTATTTCTGCTTCAAGGATTTTTTTATATTAGAGAACAAATTTTTGCTTATGTTAAAATTATGTAACGATGAGTAACTTCAGCTATGAGCGTCAGCTATGGAAAGATCGGGTTCCAAAGGCCGGATCCCTTGTGAATCAAGTCACGAAAAGTTCAAGAATCGGCAACAGGCCATGGGCCTATTTCTTCAGCGCCGACACTTCTATTCTATTCTAACTTTGCAACAAATTTTAGCTAGATCGATAGTATTTAAGTCGTCAATCAGGTTTTTCACAGCATTTTTATGACATTTTATGACATATATATTTGTCATGATATTTCCATCATTGTCATACAACGCCAGCAACATTGTATGACATAAACATATGTTCTGAAACTAAATTCATTCAAATTAGTTTGAAGTGAATTTGGTTTTTAGTATCCATCGTACAGGATACTTCTGGGTTGTTTACCAATGTCCGGTTGCTCACACGTGCCGTTCTCGCACATTCCTTCTCTGCTTCTCATTCGCGTCACGACCGTTGCCGAGAGAAGAAGTGCTTTGGAATCTACGATTTTTTTCGCAAAGATATTATTGTGTGTGGAACATATATAATTACCCCTTTTGTTCTCTCAATAGTCAATAGTGCTGACCCAGCAGTCCCAGCTCAGACGGAGACGGTAGATCTTGCTATAGGCTATAGCCTAGCCGGGCTAGCCCATAGGCCTTGCCTAATTACTTTCTAAATTGCTTGGCTGCATTTTGTGACTGTTGCCAACTTGCCATTGAGCTGCTCAATGCAAAAACAACTTGCTCAAAACAAACTTGCTCAAAACATGCTCAATTTGAGCATGTTTTGAGTTTGAAAAATGTATGTTACTTTTGACAAATAATAAAACAGTAGTTCATGTTAGGCCTACTTTTGACAAATAATAAAACAGTAGTTCATATGTATAACATTTTTTCTTTGTTCATGCTGGTTGCACATCATCAGCAGGATTGGAATTTTCCTACTTGATTCTGAAATCTTGTGGCTCCTACATAAAAAATTTTTAATACAATTGGAATACCATGGCCTGATGCCACTGTGCAGTGACTGCAGTCTACCACTATGCAGAGGGTGGATGCAGCGTCGCCAATATATGGATTTTTAAGCCCAAAGCGTTGCCGGCCATTTTAAAGATGCGTCGCCGGGTAATTTTTAATGAAAAGCCATTTACGCTGAGTAATGACTTAATTAGAAGAGTTCTACTACAATGCACCACAACCTGGAGTTATTTGACCAAAATATAAAATTGATTTTACCACCCGGTCAAAGAAACCCCAAGAGCTGGGGTAACAAAGACCATCACTTTTTTTAAAATTACATAAAGACTATGAGAGGCAGGAGCCAGCAATTTATGGTGAGTAAAGCAGGAGTACAGACCTGTATTTTGCACGTTTCAATTTAAGTTTAACTTATTTAGTAAAAAAATGGCATTGTTTTGAAATAAAAAAGTGGTCAAAGTTACCCCATTTTACGGTATTTAGTTAACCAGTACTGTAGTACATATACCATATTTGGGGGTGGGGCTTATGGGCACAACCAATCACAGCTGGAAAGCATCCCATCAACCAATCACAGCTGGAAAGCTGGAAGGGGCTAAAATCACAATCCCATAAACCAATCACAGTTGAAAAGTGATAGGATATGTATAATGTATATAATAAAATGGACTGGAAGTGGGAAGTTCCTGGACTTTCCAACCTTTCAGGTCCTGCTTTCCAATATGCTATGTGTACTGGTTAATTTAATATCCCTCTAGAATTCCACACTGCTACTTATAGGACTCAAAAATGAACTTGAAGGAGAGTCTAAAAAACTCTCTGCTTTGCCACTATGGTGCCAACTTGCCATTGGTCATGTTTGAACTTTTGAAGAATATATGTTACTTTTAACAAATACGTAATAAAACAGTAGTTCATATGTATAACATTTTTTCTTTGTTCATGCTGCTTGCACATGTAGGACTGAAATTTTCCTACTTGATTCTGAAATCTCGTGGCTCCTACATGACAAATTTTTAATACAATTGGAATACCATGGCGGCATGGCCTGATGGTGCACTTCTGTTAACAATTAGATAGGAGGTAATTCATCTGGCATAAATCTTGTGGTTCCATCTGGAGAAAATCTTGTGGTTCCATCCGGAGATAGCGGGGCTACGGGTATGGGAAAGCTCTAGTCACAATCCTAAAGGGTAAAGGTAGATGTTTTTCATGCTTGCATGCACTCCATTGAGTGCATGGCTCTACAAGATAGCTCAGAGCATTTAATCATCTAATTAATTAATTTTTTACTTTTAATTAAGTAATTACCTATTTTTATCCAACATCTTTTGTAGAATCCAATTTGCTGATTAAAATGCAATACTGTGTAAATTTATATTACCTACAAAATTACTTGTTCCAAAATTATTTAAACTGTCAGAGCCATCCAAACTGGGAAATGGCATAGAAAATACCCTTGAATGATAATATGTCTGTGTGCATTTATGATTATATCCATTTCTATAGCCCATAGTGGAATTTTAGGATGAGAGGTGCTTATGGCGGTCCACCACCGTGCGGCAGTCCAAATACATTGCAAGGCCCTCTTGCAAGCTGCAATGGTCTAAGCCCAACAGTCTGACAAACTGACCCAACAGTCTTCAAAATTGATATAAATAAATCAGTAAAGATTTGAACTGAAAAATTCCTTAGTTACTTATGTTGGTTCCAAAATAACATCAATGATGTAAAAAATGACTTACTTTCATGATCATCAGTTGCTCAGCCAGAGCCAGTCAGCCATCTTTCTAGCTCCTGAGTTCAGTCCTTTTACTCCTTTGTCTCTTTTACCTTGTAACTCATGATGTTAGAACTTTGATGTTCAAAACCTCAAATGTTGGCAAGACTGGTCTGTCAATATCACTATCAAAAATATTCACTATATCATGATCGGAAGTATATGTTACAATATCACAATCAAAAATGTTATTCACAAATCACAATCCCACAACGCAAGACCACTTCCATCTTGAAGCCTTGTCTTCCTACTGCTGGCTGGGCTAGCAGGCAGAGCTGGTGGTGACGTTGCACATGAATGTTGTGTTACATTGGCTTTGACATCACACAATACATTTTACTGCACCACAAATAAATAAATAAATTTAAATAATTAATAATAGAAAAGATGTTGATGGAACACTTTAAGAGACTGTGCCTAAACAGAATAGAATATTATTATCTTATTAGTCTAACATACTAAACAATTGAGTAGTTCCTTTGCTCACTGCTGCTGGCGCTGCCATCTGTATGTGGGCTATTCTAGACTTGAAATATGCTTCACATCTTCTTAAATTTTATAAAATTTAACAATTAATACTTATTAATATTGAATATCAACAAATATAATTAATTCTATATTACTAATTACTTATTGCATTATATTTTTCTTTCTTCTCATGACTAGTTCTCATGTGTGTAATGGAGAATTCACATGAACACATTGAACGTTTTACTTGAAAGTTATCCTTTCAAGTGATGAATTTCACTTATAATGAAATATGAGGATACAACTTCTATGATGAATTTGAAGCATAAAAATGTACCAAATGCACAAAATTAGCAATCAATAACGCAAGGTACTTTTGTAACATAAACAATACAATCATCCCTTGATAAAAATGGCTGGTTTCAGCCAGCTGTGGCAGAAGCAGCAGCTGCAAGATTGGTTGAGAATTTTGAATTTGAAATTGAAAGGCTGGGTTTCAAGTGCTTAGGAGACTAAATTTCAGCCTAAAACCTATTAAAAATTTATGTTTCTGCATGGATTTTTTTATGCTGTTAACATTGAGAAACTTCAAAGTATCTCTCATGCAAGAAATACTCGCTAAATAATTTTAATTTATAAATGAACGTCACTTGAAATCTGAGTACCGTAATCCGAGCGATCTAACTTAGAAGGAACCCTAGGTTTTGGAGTGAGTCGTTTTTATTGAAATTAAAATTTTTTAACCAAGTATTTCTTGCATGAGAGATACTTTGAAGTTTCTCAATGTTAACAGCATAAAAAGTCCATGCAGAAACATGAGTTTTTAATAGGTTTTAGGCTGAAATTTAGGCTTCTGAGCACTTGGAACCAGGGCTTTTGATTTCAAATCTACAATTTGAGAGGAAGCCAGCTGCTGCAGCTGACGAATGCCCCACCCCTAAATTCCATTCAGTCTTGAAGCAGCTTTTGTTTGGGTAGGTCTTGTAGGTGCTAGTGTGTTGTGCGGTGAGGCAATGGTCGGTCCGTAAAGAAGCCTTAATAGGTTCAAAATGTCATAAGACAAGGTTCTTTTATATGACCTGTAGAATCGCACTCTGCTATTGCCAGCCCAGTTATTATTGGCTGTTGCCTAATTTTTTTAATCAATAAGCTCATTATGGTTGCAACTTGAAAAAAAAACTCATAAAATGATAATTTACATTGGATTTTTAGAGACGAAATCTACCTAATATTACAGATTGGAGAGCACTGAATTAATAAATTTCCATCCAATATTTAACTTTAATTCCTGGAGTTGCTGTTCCTCCAGACTGTAAAGTATGGCCTTTTAGGTTGAAATATTGGCATATTTTCATTTTTCAAGACATCTTGACCATGAATTGGCATCCATGTTGGATCATTTAAATCATATTGTTATATGCCAACCGTTTTGACAGGTGTCCATCACCCGACACTTTAAATTCAGGTAAAAACCTCTCTTGAATTGGCAACAGCTACCATAGTGGCTAATGAGCCATATTTTTAGAGAGCATTTCATTCTTAATTCTCAAATCTCATTCAAAATTTTTTTCTATATCTATGTATGAATATACTGGTGTGCATGTATGCTTTACTGGTCTACTAATAGGAGTCCAAGAGATACTTAATATGATAAAGTGTAAAAAAAGTCTCTGCTTTCCCACTATGACTGCCATCCACCATTCGTGGCATCCATGGGGTGTTTGATGTAGAATTTTTTGCCTATATTGTGCCATACTTTACAGTTATGTTTCTTCATTGTGAATGTGGCCTCTCATACATATGTTTTTAATTAAAAGTAATATTTATTATTTCAATATAAGTTCATGTAAGGCTGCCTACAGAATCCTAGAAACTGATTTTACCAAAGCCATAGCCACATAGTATATATGTACTCATCTTTCTTGCATTCTTTGCAGACTGTTGGTCCCTATTGAAGATATGCATTACATTAATTTTAGTTGATAAATTTCTTTTTAGAAAATTGTGGTTTGTCAGCAAAATTCCTTTGATTGTGTTAAGAGAAAGTTCAACCAACCTCCATGGCGGACTGGGTGACGGACGAGACAAAGAACAAGCAATACTCGGATATTATTGGCCTCAAGCCATGGATCATCCGAGACCTCAAACGACTGGGTGAGACAAATGTAATGTTTAGGAAATCAAATTACTTTAAGAGAGGCAATAAATCACAACCTTGAGAAATAAATGATTATGATATTTGATCATTATTAACCTATTTTTATGGTCTCTAAGATGCTTGAGCAATCATCAATGTTCTGAATAATTCCATATCTCTGATTTCATATTTAAGTCTTTAAAATTCTTTCTTCTCAAGAAGACTACACTTTTGATGAAACCTTGGGGTATGTTTTACTCCCTGTATTGTTTCCACCAATAAATTTTTCCTCAAACATGATAATAAATTAATTGAGATAAGGAAAACATTTTGCTTTAGCCTTCCAGGAGCTTTCAACCTAATTGTTCATTCCAGGAGAATTTGACCTGTTCATCTATTTTTGAATGTCAAAGGCAGTTATTTACTAACATTTTAAACTCATAATCAAACAATGTGATGAAATTTGAGAAATTATCTTGAGAATTAAATTAAGCTCAATTTAGACACTTTTTTTAGTTAGCCATCATACCCTTATTTACTGAATCTAATTAGTCTACTTGTTGGATGTAGTACTGTATATATAAGTTTGAATGGAAATTTGAATAACCTACCAGCACCTCCTCACATTTCTTCTCACAATATCTCCTCTCATTTAAAAACAATGTTCACCCATGAAAATGTGAATTGCATTCAATTACAGATAACCTGTCCACTTATTTATATTTAAAGTACAATATATACCCTTGATTAATTGAATACAGTAGTAAATTATAAAAATGTGTATTGCATTAAACTGATAATGTGCAATCTATTATCATTTTTATTGTACAACATTGAGCCTCATTTTAATACAACACAATATTTACCTGAGTACCATTAGTCAGAAACCACATTGCCAGTTTACCACCAGGAATTTAAAATTAAATGTTTCAAATTCTAAATCAAGAATTTGAATTCAAATCTAAGTAAAGCTTATATTTTGATAGAAAGCTTGCTTTTATAACACCAAGAGTTCATATCTTTCCTCTGAAGTTGACAATTATTACAATTAATATAAATAATATCCTTCCTTTAAAGTTGGTTTTTCTCAATGATTGTATATCTATGTTCTTTAAGTTTTTCAACTGACACTTGAGCCAAAAAATGTGTTTAATAAGATAAATTTACTTGGCATTTCTTTGTTTTAAATTCTTCATAATATTTACATGTGAAATGCATTCAAATACTGATTACCTGCTAGCTACTCTAATATTGATTTATATTATAAATTAATATATCTATAATATTATAGCTCATCTATTAAAACCAAATGTACATTTCAGATGTTGTGAGGCCGACCCCAGTACAGTTTGCATGCATCCCCCCGGCGCTGCAAGGCAAAGACGTCATCGGCGGCGCCAAGACGGGCTCGGGCAAAACTATGGCCTTTGTCCTGCCCATCCTGAACAAACTCTCGGACGACCCGTATGGAATATTTGCCCTCGTCCTCACTCCGACACGAGAACTCGCCTTCCAAGTAACAATTTCTCTTTAATTTGTAGTGAAATTAGTGTAAAAAATTATATTTCTTTAAATTCTCTTTGATTTTATCCATGCAGTTGCTGTGAAATTAGTGTAAAAAATTATATTTCAGTTTGATTTTATCAGAATATATTTTATTATGTGATATCTTTTTCTTTACAGTTGAATTATAAAGGCAAATTCTGCTATAATCTACATATAGAATTAGGTACTTCTTCAAGTAACTAATTGTTAAGATAAAATCGTGTGTATTTATATTTCTTTACGAGCTTCTGTAAAATCCAATACCAGTTACTGAGATACCTACAAGATGAGCCACATTTTGATAAATAATGTGTCAAAATAAATTATAATAAAACAAAAATAAATAAAACACTATCTGATAGGAAATGATTCATTGCATCTTTAAAGTTTGATGCTGAAGGTTCACTAAAAGTTATTGATGTTCTTCTTAATATGGGATAATTTCTCTTTAAAAAATTCATTTACTTTACAATTACCTGTAACTTTATGATATTTCCTGGAATAAATTCTACCATGTAGAATTTATTGCATGGCTGGTCAGACCTCTTTTTTATTATAAATAAAAGTTAGATTATCTATTTTATGATTTTTCGTAACTTTTCTTCAATAAATTTGTATCAAAAATCATATAAAATTGAAATTGAATGTATCAAATTCTCTGTAATTATTACATTATATGAAAATTTATTACATTCTGAATCTAATATAGCGTATACCAGTATTTATGCATAAATGTTTTTCAAAAGGTTACAAATATTAAAAGGTTCAAAAACTAGTGAATAAAGCAAAGGTTGATATGGCAGATCAAAAATACTCAATACTCTGAAAATAATAATTATAATGATAATGATTAAATTAATTACATTCTGAAACTAATATATTGATAAATGTGTTCAAAAAGTTAAAAAAAAATATTAAAATGTTAAAAATTAGTGAATAAAGCAAAGGTTGCTATGGCAGATCAGCGACCAGTTCAGGGCGGTGGGGGGCAGCATGGGGCTGCGGGTGAGTGTGGTGGTGGGGGGGGAGGACCGCCACGACCCTGTCTCTTATACACATCTAGATGTGTATAAGAGACAGGTTCTCATGTGTGTAATGGAGAATTCACGTGACAACTTTTAACGTTTTACTTGAAAGTTATCCTTTCAAGCGATGAATTTCACTTATAATGCATTATGGGGATACAACTTCTACGATGAATTTGAAGCATAAAAATGTACCAAATGCACAAAATTAGCAATCATTAATTCAATGTACTTTTGTAACATTAACAATATTGGCATCCCCTGGTAAAAATGGCTGGATTCAGCCAGCTGTGGCAGAAGCTGCAGCTGCAAGATTGGTTGAGAATTTTGAATTTAAAATTAAAAGTCTGGGTTACAAGTGCTTAGGCTGTCTCTTATACACATCTANAGTTCTTGGTGCTTGATGAGGCAGACTGGTGAGTTCTTGGTGCTTGATGAGGCAGACTGGTGAGTTCTTGGTGCTTGATGAGGCAGACTGGTGAGTTCTTGGTGCTTGATGAGGCAGACTGGTGAGTTCTTGGTGCTTGATGAGGCAGACTGGTGAGTTCTTGGTGCTTGATGAGGCAGACTGGTGAGTTCTTGGTGCTTGATGAGGCAGACTGGTGAGTTCTTGGTGCTTGATGAGGCAGACTGGTGAGTTCTTGGTGCTTGATGAGGCAGACTGGTGAGTTCTTGGTGCTTGATGAGGCAGACTGGTGAGTTCTTGGTGCTTGATGAGGCAGACTGGTGAGTTCTTGGTGCTTGATGAGGCAGACTGGTGAGTTCTTGGTGCTTGATGAGGCAGACTGGTGAGTTCTTGGTGCTTGATGAGGCAGACTGGTGAGTTCTTGGTGAGGCTGGTGAGTTCTTGGTGCTTGATGAGGCAGACTGGTGAGTTCTTGGTGCTTGATGAGGCAGACCGGTGAGTTCTTGATGCTTGATGAGGCAGAACTTTTGTAATTTCTATAACATTTCCATTATTTGAGAAATTTTATGTTGATTATGTTGTTCATTGTTTTTATTTATTACAATTGTATGTGATAGAATACAAGTACACAATATTGTATAGGTTATTATTAATGTATACAATGAAATAAAAGTAACACAGTTACTTTGAGTGTAGATTATTGTATCTTAATGAATAACATTACCTAAACAATTTATTGATTAAGTACATTAATTAATTGATTAATTAATAACCCCAACTATCAAATTTATTAATTGAAAATATTAACTAATCAATTTATAAATTAATTTATAAGGTTAACTTATCAACTTATTAATAAATCGAATAACAATAACTTATTAATTTAATAATTAACAAGTTTAATTAATTTATTATTTACTTGAATAACATTAACTGATTAATGGATCATTTAATCAACTAATTAACTTAATTAATAAAATTAGGACCGCTGTGCAGGCTGCTGGACGGGAGGTTCTCGGAGCAGCTGTCGGTGATCCTGGAGGCCCTGCCGCCCCAGCGACAAACTCTGCTCTTCTCCGCC